TTATTTTCCTCGCGATCGCAACTCGCATGACCGCAAGTCGTACTAGTTTCCGTCTCTCTCGGTAAGGATAACTTCGGGCCAAGTCTCGCTAATTTACCTACGCTACGGTTGTAACTACGGGAATTCGTTTGTAAGTCGCAAATTTTCCTGTAACCAAGTCGCGCGTCAATTATCCTATAACCGCGACTTGAACAACTTACTTATGCCTAAGTACTCCCTTTCTCGGTATTAACTAGCCTCCAATTTCCAACAACTGCACTTGTTTCGACTTCGACTACTTTCTGAACTTCTTACACGCATGTTGATTACAAATATGACAATGAATTAAATACATCAATTAAATACAGTACAATTTCTTCATGTTAAATATAGACCAGAAAGAAAACTTTATTATCTTCATACTCTTTGCATAAGACATAAGAAGCTTTTTTACCATATGGTTTAAGCCTTTTAGTGACAAGCAAAAATATCGTACCTATGTGAAGATTACCGGGCCAGTTTGACGAATTTGTTAAGGTTTGGGAAAATAAATTAATGAAAGTTAACTTATAGCTAAAAACCAAACTAAGAATAATATTTTCAAAGATCAAAGAACAGTATGTTGCGAAATAAAGAAAGAATAAGGTAATGCTAATTGTACTTCAATATTTGTTGAAAATCGTACAAATAACATCAATATAAAACATCATGAAGAACATAGAAATGAGTTTCTCTTCTACAAACAATATTTGCACATAAGAATAATCATCGTTTGATCACAGCTTTATATAGATCACGTACAATTAGAGCAAAAGATGTGAAAATCGGCCAATATTAGAAAAATGACGTGACTACCCTAGCCCTTTAAGCGTCACACGTGCATGGGCACTTTCGCTACACGAGCGCAGAGTATAAATACTGTAGATGTAGATATACATTGGTACAAAGTCTAGTAAACACGCATACTAGCTAAATGAGAATTGTACACGATAGTACGTCATTAAGAAGGGAATACTATCATGCACATTGCTTCGAGTTCGTGATACGGGAAACATAAGGCTGGAGAGAAGTCATTAAAAAGATTATACTCGCAATAATTAGGACATAAATAAATCGCGAAGCGTTCCGAAATTATTAATCGTTCTTTGACACCTAATCCGTCTTCCTTTTACGTTGTCGTGGCATAGTCTTGCAGCATGCCACGACGTCTACCGGGGAGATAACGTTTTATAGCATTTTATGAGTTATTGCCGAGGATGCTGTGGATTACGAGATATTATGGTTAGAAGCAGCCTTCATCCTCAGTTAGTTTAAACCCATCAAACACAATTTGAGATTATAATCTGAAATATATTTCAGACTATACGAAAATCCGTTCGCGTACATAAAATCGCAAGAAGTTTCTATGAAAATTAAATGCTCGATGAATAATTCTACGTCTTGAGTTTATTTATAGTTCGTCTAGAAGAATGCCCGTCGAGGCGAGAATGTTAATGCGATGATAAATTTATTGCAACAAATTTAAGATCCAGCTTCAACCATACCTACGATTTCTTTAAGTAGTTGTCTTTCTTCAAGCGTCACGTGTTTATTCATTATCTGGCAGCTTACAAGTTGCAAGTATATAAACTTTTCGAGCAATCGGGCAGTTCATCTTTTATTTTGTAATTGAAACATTTATTTTGGCTAACGTTTATTTTGGAGGACACTTTCTATTTTTTCCTCATATTTTCTCTTTTTTCATCGATTACCAGCAGATTATACGAAGTTTAATCTCTATTAGTTTTATCATTCTACTACAAATTTAGTATTAAATTTATTATATGAAAACGTTTAACGAGCAAATAAGCAGACGAATATTGTGCAAAGGCAAATAACTACCGCTTGACTGCGTTTATAGAATGCATTTTCGTGGCGTAAATTCTCCCGTTGAAATATCGATACAGGACTAAGAAATCGTGGCGTGCAAATACAAGAGGAGAAGCAGCTTTCGCCGTTGTAATGTCAGAGAGATTCGCGAGCCGAACTCCCGTGTGCCCTGCTTCAAGCTCGTTACGTGTCGACGGGGGTGCTGCTACTCTGCACAAACTGAGCGATAACTGGTAAATAAACGATGAAAGATACGTGAATTACAAATTGCACTTTCCCAGCCAACCAGCATCACGTTATTTACCAGTCTCTGGTTATTCGGTGTGTTGTTTATCGTCTTACGTGGAACAATACCGCTACTACATATGTACATACATATATCGCGCGATGTTATGTTATACGCAAGCAATGTTACATATGTATATATACAGGGTGATCCACGGTGCACACGTTGCGTGGACCACCCTATATATACGCGATATTACTCGGGAACAACATTCTATACACGTAATTTTAGTACGTTCAAAGGCACTGAACAATTGCCTGTGTGCCCATTAGCCAAATATCCATAATAGACTATGGTAGTCACGTGGCTTTGCTAACATTTGTCAACCTTTTGATATTTTTTGCTCTGTTTTATAATAGCAATAGCCCAGGCAGCAGCATGCAAACTTAATGAGGCTTACGAGGTTTACGAGGCCAAACTGTTCATCCTTAGACAAAATGATTCTTGAATCGTCAAGTACGTCTTTGAAAAGGGATGAGTTCAGTCTGTTTACTGTAGGAGCTATTGGGAGAATAGCCGATATATTCGAATCATCAAAAATTCTCAAGCTCGAACTATTTTGAATAAATAGGCACATTCTTAAAATGAAAATCTTATTAATTTACGATGTAATCAAGTATATAACAATGACATATAACGGACGTATAAAAGTGCATAGTATGATTCCAATAATTTCTCAGTGAATCCATTAACTTTAATATGGTTCCATACAAGGTAGCATTTTCTAAAAATTGCAATGCTTTTCTTCTCCTCAATTTTTTACTTTTACCCATTTCAGTCGTATGATGTTTATACTGAGATGCTTTCATACACTTCAGCCTTGCATTTTATCCACACATAGAACCATACGACACATACATATACTATGTATACATATATATAGATCGAGATCGGTATCGGGTTGGATTTAAAGTGACGCGCAATGAAACCGGATGCAAACAACGATCTGTTAGCTGGAAACTTGGAAATAACTGGTAAACAAATGATAAAAGATACATGAACCGCAAATTGTGCTTTCGTTGCGGTGCATTATCCACGGCTTTCGGTAATATATTAGCTTGAGACTCTGCCCTTCTGTTTGTCCGGTGTTTCTCCGTGTTACCGTGCTTCTCTCTACTCATTTCCCTATATTCGGTCCCCCTGTTTACGTATGATAGTCTCTTTTCCGTGGCAAATAGGAGATGTACGAGGTAATGGAGTAAACAGTAACGCGCGGTGTTACTGATTTGCCCGCAGCCCTCGCGCATTGTACTGAAAAGTTGCGTTTTATTCGAATGAACGTACGCGGTAATCAAGATATTCTTACTCCTTAGGATTCGGATAAGTAATTTTAAATAAACTTCTGAAAACTTCAATAGAATATATGTAATTATATACATATATAATTATATACATGTGTAATTATGATGATACATATATTTCTTATATTAAACAAACTTATTACAATTATGTACATTCTACGAATAATACAGAGACATAATGTTTCTTTATTTAAAACTTGTTTTCGAGAAAACTGAATTTGAATACCCGTCAGGTAGCCGTGCATTATTTGTTAGTTTCGAAGTATGAAACTTTTGTTTCTACACGTATTTGCATTATTGAACGTGAGCAATGTCTCGATTTCCTTCTTGCAGTTTTGGTAGTTTGTTGCAGAATAGTTTCGTTCAACGAGCAGACGTGTACATGGATCGATACGGTCGATATATGGAGCACTTATTACATTAATAAAGTTATTCTCAGAGCGTAGTAATCTTATTCTCATTTATGTAATCATTATCAAACCAGCAAAACTATACGCAAGATATTGTTCATGTTTAATATATCTGACGAGTTTCCAAACTCATTTTTCTTGAAAATAGAGGCTTAAATAAAAAAATATATTACTTCTTGACTTATTTTAATATGTAGATCCACTACTCAGCTTACTATACCAAGATTTCTGAGACACCTGTGTTATTACATTTCCGAAACAGATGAACATTTCGAAAAATAAATTTACTGACTTACTCTTTAGAGCGTACTGCTCAAACAAAAAGTTTTTTAATGTATACTGTATCACGACAGCCATAACTAAAATACAGAAAAAAATATGAAATATAAAAGATGAGACAGTACATCGAGGGAGGGAGCAATCATCGTTACGAGGCGAGTGGCAAAGATCGACGACTATAACGGCGGTCGCAGTGACGACGACGAGCATAGCGAGATTCAGAATTGACAAACGATCGGGTTGAATTTTCCACGCTCCACGTACGGCCACCAGACGCACACGTTGAATCTTGATTGCGAAAATACCCCCGGAACCGTGTGGCCAAGCAAAGCGCATTTACATCCCCCTGCGCTCCGCCCTTCGCCCCCGCCGCTCGACAGCCTGTGGCACGGCTTTACAAGCTTGCAAGTGCGCGAGCTCTCTATCCCCGGTGCCGCGCACTCGTCGAACGCCTGGCCATTAAGTTGCTGCTGCAATCAGAACGTTCCGAAAGAGAGGGACACCGCATACAGATACCGGAAAAGTAGACAGAAAGAGAGGGAGAGAGAGCGAGACAGAGAAAAGATGGGGGATGCGAGAAAGAGATAGAGCGGGTGTCAAGATTAATAATATATCCCTGAAGATGCATCTGCTAGTCAGATGCGCCAGGAATATAGGTCGAGTCCCTTTCTTCCCGAGTTCGCATCGCGTCGGTTTTACCGGAAATATTTTATGTATATACTCGCAACTGATCGTTAATGTATTCCCCGATAGAAGCGGGATATCAGAATATCGCGAGGTAACGTGTATATACATATACACGTACGTACCTATCTATCTATCTATGTTGGCTCTACGGACTTTTTCCTCATGGACCCGTAATTTTTCTCCTTTCAGGACAGTGACGGAGAGAAGAGCGATCAGGACTTAGTGGTGGATGTCGCGAACGAGGTCAGTTCATTCTTTCACACTGGAACGAATCCCTATTATATCTTTACTGGTGAATTCATTAAGCGGAAGTTATCGAAACGTATATGTATGTACGGTCGATGAAAATCTATCTTTCGATGTTAATTAAGGTGTATACACGGATTCAAAATCACGCGTTCTATTCAAACAGTTCAAATTTTGTTCACTAAAAAAAAAAAGTCAGATTTTCATGTTGAAATCTTTGTGGTTTGCATATTATGTGATAATACTGACTGTGATTACTATGACGGTACGAAGTCCAAATCAATATATAGTTTGGTGCAACGTAATCCGAATAAAAAGTTAAAATTGCCGGTCTGCTGAATACGGATTGGAAGCAATAAACAAAAATAGACCTTATTGGAAAAACTTGGAATTGAATATAATTCAAATTGAAGGATGACAGAACTTGTTAATATTAAAGTCTATGAAACGAAAAACTGTTAGACGTTGACGCCTTGACGACTAAAGACGTCCTGTTTTGTGTCCAGTCTGCATGTTGATCGGGGTACATTCTGACCTGGGTACATTCTGGGTACAGAAAAAACCGACACTTTATGGCGCATAAAAAAACATCTGTTCCTAAATCGGGGATTTTCTGATGGTCACGAACCGCAAGACATTTAGACACCAAACGGTGACCAACTCTAACGGGAACAAAGAGTCGTAAGACCCTTACCGGTATAAACCCTTAACGGTACCAAATGGTCATAAAAAACATTTTGAATTAAGAAAAAATTTTCACCCCAAATGTCCAAGTACGCGCTTCAACAATTACATTACTTTTTTCATTGTAACTCGTAGAAATTAAACCAGAGAGAAGAAGATAAGAAGGGAGACGTTATTGATAGTATAGTGGCATTAAAGAAAGGAAAGTAGTTTTAATATTATTCATATTTCTTTATTTTTCATAAAAGGAAGCTTCATCACCACACGCAAATGGCGAGCACTCAGATCCACGTGAAAACGGTACCCTGGAAAAACTAGGAGCTCCAGGACACGTGGGCCCTATTTCTGGTACTGGTTCAGCATCTGTAAAGGACAGGCCACCGTCGCGAAGCGGAAGTTCCTCCGCTCGCAGTACGCCGTCTCTGAAAAGTAAAGATGTAAGATCTCGCGGATAGCAAGCTTATTCGATTAATCGGTCCGGTTCCATTCTGTTTCCCGTGTATCATTACTGCTTCTTTTTATCTCGATTTATGATAGGATAAAGTAAAAATACTCATCATTGTAAATATTGATTAGATGATCCTGCTTCTGTTTTTAAACATATAAGCTAGATTTCGTTTAAGGTTCTCAAAATCACTTTTGCCGTTTCCTTCGGTGGATTGCATACATTACTCTACACGTAGCTGGAATTTACTGTACGAAACTACATACGTATGTGACATATAAGCAAATCTCTGTGAACGCGATGTTAGTGGAAACAAGCGTCGCTCGATCGCGCCAGTATAAATCGGTGAACCAGAAGCGAGTGCGCTTAAACGCGTAGGCCGTGGATCGATGACGCGTCTCGCGGTTGCTTTTGTGCGAAAGTCAAGCGTGAAATTTACAGCTCCTCGGTACTATTTCCGAGCCCAATAATAAACCGGTGTGCCCCCTTGGAACGAACCTCTTTAGATCGACAAGCCGGGTACACCTGTGGCGGTGGCGAGGGGGTCGCGCAGCTGTACGCCAACTATGGGCGGAATTCCTGGTCCCTTGGCATCGCGGGTCTATCATCCGCCATCGTCGCAGCAAACGCCACCGCAGGGCTATCAGGGTTTGCCGTCCCGCGGCAATGAGCCGCCGCAATCGCCTTCTCCGTACAGCAACTTACCATACGCCAGGACATCGATGGTACATCACGTTCCGGCTCAGAGATGAGCAATCTCTGCATCCTATGCACCCCTTTCGCCGTCGATTTCAATCGATCGAGATACAAATTATTGTGTTTAGCATAACAAGAACCATTTTAATTTCAGCAATAATGGGAAAAGAGGTTGCTCATTACTGTTTCAATTGATCGTTTTTTGTCTCGGCATGTTCATTATTTCGGCAAGATTATGTGATCAATTATTGTTGTTCGCGATGAGGATAATTTCGAATTTCTTCTGTTTTCTTAGGGATTCGTTTAAAGCGTTCAAAATGCACAGTACAATAACTATAGTACTTCCACTTTTGTAAAAATTGAATAAAAACCGTTGCCTCTTGTTCTCTTTTACAGCTTGGCTTCGACGGTCACATGAGGATACCATCCAGTAACGGGCTAAGCAACATTCCGGGTGGTAAACCGTGCGTAATATTTTACTTAATATTATTCTTTGGGCAATTGCTTTATAGAAGCACGTCAAACTAACTCATAGCTTCTTAATCTTTTCACTCACTTTAATAAACAAAAAAAACTTGAGTAAGGAGTTAATTAATCGAAATCATAGTACATTTTTGCGCTGATGTTATGACATGAATTTTATGATATTGTTTCGATGGGGCTTTTAAGTACTCTAAGGCTGTCGGTTATACATATAAGTCTAGAGGGTCATTAATGTTTTACACTTCACCACAGAGCGTACTCGTTCCATATGAACGGTGAGGGTCAGCTACAGCCGGTACCATTCCCTACGGACGCTCTGATAGGGCCGGGAATTCCTCGTCACGCGCGTCAGATTAATACCTTGACTCACGGCGAGGTTGTGTGTGCGGTTACGATCTCGAACCCGACCAAGTACGTCTATACGGGTGGCAAGGGTTGCGTTAAAGTCTGGGACATCGGCCACGGGGGTGGTGGCAGTATCAAGCACGTATCGCAGCTGGACTGTCTCCAACGCGATAATTATATTAGGTAAGTCCCTCAAAAGTTAAAAGTTTACTGTACGTTATCCATGCCACGTGATCACACAGGTGTTTCAATAACGAATATTTATAGTAAATAAATACAATGCTGGTTAGAGATTTGTTTCTCGAATAACCAATTTTTAAAAATACGTTTGAATTGATAATAAATAGAAATGCGAGAAATTAGGAAAGAATAATAGAAGTGTTAAAAATCCATGTACGATAGAAATATTTTTGAACGTAGGTCAGTAAAACTACTGCCAGACTGCAGAACCCTGATCGTGGGTGGTGAGGCGAGTCAGCTGATCATCTGGGATTTGGCCAGCCCCACGCCGCGAATCAAAGCGGAACTGACGTCATCGGCACCGGCCTGTTACGCGTTAGCGATTTCGCCGGACTCGAAAGTCTGCTTCAGCTGTTGCAGCGATGGTAACATCGCCGTCTGGGACCTGCAGAACGAGACGTTAGTTCGACAGTTCCAGGGCCATACGGATGGCGCCTCCTGCATCGATATCTCGGCGGATGGTTCAAAATTATGGACAGGGGGGTTAGACAACACGGTGCGCTCGTGGGATCTACGGGAGGGTAGACAGTTGAAGCAACACGACTTCACTTCGCAAATATTCTCCCTCGGCTATTGCCCAACCGGAGAGTGGCTCGCGGTCGGCATGGAGAACTCAAATGTCGAGGTGCTTCACGCTTCCAAGTCCGATAAGTATCAGCTCCACTTGCACGAGTCGTGTGTGTTGTCGCTACGATTCGCTTCATGCGGCAAATGGTTCGTTTCTACTGGCAAAGACAATCTACTGAACGCGTGGCGCACCCCGTACGGCGCTTCGATATTCCAGGTGTGTATACGTGTTATAAGTATACTAGCAATAAAGCAACGCAAAAATTAAGCGAAATGTCCATCCACATTGAAACATAAAAAATTAGGAAGTAGATGAGTTCGGCTATCGCAACAGCTAGAACGAATTAAAACGAATTGACAGATAGGCGGACATTAAAAGATGAACTTCCTAAATTTTAATTTTTTTCGCTGGTTTTCGATTTAATAAAAATAAGAAGAAAATATCGTATTAACTTTGTTCTAGCTCCTGCGATAGCTATTGGTTTCCTGAATAACATGTATTTTCAGACTAAGTAGTTTTTGAAATATCAATCTCGCAGCAGCTTCGGTTGTACTGAACAGTAGAAGCATTAAGAAATTATGAAATAAAATCTTCGTGCTCTCACAACATGTATAAATAAAGATATAGCAGCTACATTGTATCAAAAATTGTTCTACTAGAAAAAGAATTCCGTAATATAGACAACTTCTCAGACCGTCATAGTGGAAAGGTCCATTAGATCCGAAATCAAACTTTTAGTTTCAATAGAGTTAATCGGTCTGACTTCTGTGTCATTCAATTATCCTCATAGAGTTCTGTTTATTTTATGCCATAATCTTTTATATAAAACATCTTTTTCATCTGAAATGCACGTGGATTGGTGCGATACTTTATGTATGTATGTAACTTGGTTCATTCAATAAATCTCGCTAAATCGTATTTCGGTCGTATGCTTTAAATACTTAAATACACATACATATTAAAGTGCAGCATCGTCCTTCATGTCACGTTGCACGGAACACGCGCAAAAACGCATTCCGAAGCTTCCTGCACGAGAATCCATATCAATTCTTTTTATAGTCGAAGGAGTCCTCGTCGGTGCTGAGCTGTGACATCTCCGCCGACGATAAGTACATCGTGACCGGATCCGGTGACAAAAAGGCCACTGTATACGAAGTGATTTACTAGACGACACGCACGGTAAAAAAGACATTTCATGTTTTCCTCCCTTTGGTCGAAACCTAAACTCCAACGCGCTCTCCCGTTTCGCGGGAGATCCTACAAGTGAGACTTTTTAGCAGCCTTAGGAGCCTAGACTGTTACTATATTGTGTATATATACATAACAAGTCTGTATTAACTGCGTACGTAGGAAGTGCGCTCGAAAGAACGGAAAGAGAGAACGAAGCGAGCGGGAAAAAAGACAAGCGGAGTAAACGAAGTTTAGAGAAAGAACGTCGCTAAACGACGATGCTAACGAAAGTTGTGAGAGAGAGAGAGAGAAACGTAATGCGTGTGCTAGAGAGAAAGTTGTATATGTATATTTAGAAATTGCGTGTGTGACTGTGTGATTTAACTTTAGTGTCAAGTATGTCAGTACAACACTTTCTTTGTCCCATGTATATGTACAACGAGAACGCGTTAATGGGACGTTACCAAGCGATTTTACATGCGCTTTAAGTGACCGGGAGAGCCTTGCAGATGGTGATGTTAGATACGGTTCCCGGATAAGTACCTAATTATAGAATCAACACATGATATGGAAGGCAACGCGTTGAGAACAAACGATTCAAAATCTAACAAAAGTTCTTTCTCGTCTTATCGGGATTTTAATCATTTTCGCAATCACGATTGTGAATTGGAGCATACCACTGGTTTATATACTTCGAATCTCTTCGAGAAAATGTTAGCTCGATGCACGTGTTTCGTTATAAAATCAGTATCTCATCAGTTCCACTCAATGAATCATTGATTAGTCATTTACTTAAAATTCATGAAAATCATCGAATCTTCGTAAAGTTTCAAACGATTAATGAATGTTGAATATCAAGTTCAATATCCTTAATGTTTAACGCTGATCGATAACTATGTTAAAATCATCAATAAGAAAGGAGGCAAAGGAAAGATAGATATATCGAATTATTTATCACGTGTAAATTATTCAATACGTTGGAACGTTGCTGATCTAGCAAAGAGATCCGATCGCTCGAAACGTTCGTGCATCGATTAGCGAAATACACAATCATTAGAAGATTCACGACATTCTTTCGAAAAAAAATACATATATTGAATAACGATGATTCCGCTGTTTCTACATGAAGAAGGAAAGTAAACGTGAAGCCTGTACCGTGTGAGCAGTGTTGTGTATTATCTACGTGTCGACCACGGTTATGGCAAATAATTAATTTTAAATATATTTCATGAAAAATTGTTCTCTTTTATATTCAAGAAAATTTACGCATGTAATTGTTCGAGATCGTCTTTTGAGCGAACATTTACAGTTTTGGATAAGTGACGGCATAATTCTTCGTATTTGCTGAAATTCGAGAATTATGTACATATGTATTGAACTCCCTGTTTTATGAACATCTGCAACGCGTAAGCACATGACCAAACGAATTAACAAGTGCAATGAAACATAGTCCACGTTACATTTCTTAAGCTTACAAATCTTTTGACTCGTAAGATACATAAATCATTTTACAACACGCCCTACTGCACTGCAGAAGATTACAATCAAATTTTATCTTTCGTCGCATACGTTTGATTTACAGTTTTAAATGACGATTAAAGTATAAAAATATCAATGTAAAGAGTGTATCGGCACAATTCCAGCTTTCCTGAATATTTTGTAAATAATATTGGGCTAAGAATTAAGTTCGTGGAAATTCAACATTAAATTAATTCAGATATTCTTCTATTTGAAACTGTAGCATTCTGCACAGTAATTTCGCGTTATACATAACGATGAACAAACAGTGGCATCAGGACCTTCGCTACGGTTGTAGCTCCTATTACATCTATTACGTCCATTTCTGTTATCGACAAGCACACTGATATTACGCGTACTGATCGAATTTCCGCGTGATTGTACGTATTCGCATCCATAAATGATAAACGAATGAGAATCCGTATACAGAATCCTTATGAATCCTCATCGGTAATTGTGATCGATTGTACATGATGATACGATTGTGCCGCATGACAGCTCGAGGTTTAAAATATACATAAATAAAGTCATTAATTATCGATCACAACGAGAGTCAGATAAATTCTAAAATCTATTGACATTAGAGAAAATCCTGCGAAGGAGATTTGAAAATTATTTGAATAATTTGTTTTGAAGTTCTATATGTCGCGTAAGAGAATTACTAACAAGTATTACTGTCCTTGAACCAAATCTCATCCAAAACATAAAGAGAAGGTATTGGATTTAGATCGTGTTTCACTTCTCATGCAAGCTAATTAAAGTCTATAGATTACGTGCCGGTAAGAAGTATCATGCCTGTTCAATTATTAGCGTTAAATCAAGCAATAGGTACGAATGAAAATGATATGCCGATCTGTTACGATTAATAATTTATTAAAATCCGACAAATATCTGCAGTTCATAATTATCGCTTGAAGAAAATGATTTGATCTATTTTTAGTTCACTTTTGTCAAGATTTGTCAGAGCTGTTTAAGATTTTCAGTAACGGATTACGAATTACTAAATACGAACTTATCATTTGATGCGAAACTAAACATTGTTATTAGATTATCATTTAAAAATTGCACTTTTTATACGCTCTCTTACTGGGCAATAACGCTTTCGTTGAGGGACATGTAAGTACGTGTGTACGTGACGAAATAGTATGTAATTGTGTCATTTCCAATCTTACCTGCGATGTAAACGATAAACAATGATTTTGTAATTGCAATACCACGTATGACACGCAATGTAAAAGGAAAACGTTCGAACGAGCGATGTACAACACACAACCCCATATGGACATATACATGTATAGCGGAAAGTACGTGTCGACTAAAAATGATGCAGCTCGAAATGTTTTTTGAAGAAAAAAATAAAAGGTCTAATTCCATCTTTCTAGCTATAGTGATAATACGAGAATCGAATAGATATACTTTTATTTATTGTCTCGCGTCAAGACAATTTCTCTTTATCCTCTGAGTGTGATAACAAAAAAAAACAAAAATATTGAGAAGTGAAATAAATTCGTTTTCATCACGAAAGCCTATGCTGTGAATAATTTTATAGCTCTTCGGCGAAATAAAATTACGTTGCGCCACCACGTAGATACATATGTATGTACATATTGGATAAAATAACACGTAAATAGCAAATAATAGAAGAAGCGTATTTCATTTCATTTAATTATGAGTATATCCATTAAATACTGTTTGCGGGTGCTATTGCATTTTAACCGTATTAATTCAGTATTAACCCTAATAAGTTAATACGAACAGTATAATTTAGTAGTTGCAGAGAGGACGATAACACGAGCAATATTTTACTACTAGCTGTTCTGCGATTTTAATCAAACGCATTTAACTCACGCTTAATAGACATTAATGGGCTCAGTTTAATTCAGCAGAATAATTCTATTATCTTTCTTTAATTTGTCGCTATTCCAGTAAAAAATTGTACATATATTACAAACAAGTTTAAAACTTTTAACATCCATTTGTTCGTTATAGAATTTGCACGCAATTACGAGGGTAATTTACAATTGACCGCGTTATGAGTACGCGTACTTAAAGAAAATACTTTGCGGCGTTATGATGATCTTGAGAATTAATTACTGTTCGTCAATTAAAGAATAAAAGAGAAGAGGGGGAGAATCAAGAGAAAGAGGAAGCAAACGATAGAAATCACAGGTTTACTTCCGGTAATTTTTCGATGTATTTACATTTACGTGTAATCTGTGTGTACAAGATCGTTAAAAACATTAAATGTTTATGCTCGCGTTACGATAATATATTCATGTATTTACATGTGTATCCGTGTGTACAAGATTCGTTAAAAACATTAAATGTTTACAGGTCTGTTTTTTATATTGCCTCGCGCACTATTAATTTCGCGTTTTTACTTCTTTTTTGTTTAATCCATTTATGTCACCGCGTTTATCTCTTTCTCTCCCTATCTCGCGTACAAACTTGATCATTCATGCTCTTCTTGCGTCGGCTCCTTTTTAAATATTTCCTCACATAACGCCGCAATTTATGTACAAGTAGAAAATACTTAATAACAACGTCCACTATCACACCATTATACACCACTGCAAATGGTTGAGTACGTACACTATGCGCGTTCAACTAAAAGGGATGGTACATACTGGCTGAAAATGTTTGGTGCATAGCAAAAGCCTTGCTTTTGTTTCTTCTTCCTCTTCTTTAATTTTCGATTGCTTGTAGATAGTTTCCTATAAAATTCAGGTTTGTACAGGAATACAAACTCCCATTGTGGAAAAAATTTCGTTAGAATTTTTCGCCGAGGAAATTTATCGCGCACACATTTTTACAGCTCGCAGGCATACACGCATACACAATGCACACGAAATCTGTTCTCTCCGGTATGTATGTACAAACTAGAAAATACGTAATACGGCTACTTATACGTGTATAAGCAACCGATTTTACAGGAAATGTACAGAGGTGAACGATGATGAATTCACGCTTACGTTCATTCTAGGGCTTAAGTGTACATGACGCCTGGTTCTACACTGGAAGGTGTCTCCTTTTCCTTGATCAACCATCGAATCAACACATTTGACGGAACGATGCCGATGCCCGATCACGACCAATAAAAGAATAGTATATTCAGTCTATAAAAATACTGGAGAAATCTTCTCGAAATTGTACAATGAAATTAATTAAGAACATACTAATCTTGTCAATGTAAATATATCATAAATACATTGCAAACACTACGACTACAAATGATATTAATCGTATTTTACTTTTGTCTTTGTCAACGTCATAAATTCGTGTATGCATAAAATACTCATGGCAACGTAAAAATATTTACCGTTTTGAAGAAGAAGCTCTTAGAAAAATATTAGACAACCTTCCATTGTGTAAAATATAAAAATTCTTGCGTCTTCAGAATGATTATGCTCACTAAGCGCAGACGTAAAATACATTTGGTCGTAAAACTGTACGCTTCGTGCTAGAGCAAGGCATTGATACATCCTTGTTCTCCTGCAGAAGGTCCTTAATTCTAATAAAAAGCTATCGTCGACTTGTACAAATTGCGTTCACAATTTATGGCAACGAAAGTAACCATCTCTTTATGTCGTTAATTACTTTGTGAAACGCAAGTCTTATCGATAATAATAATCGCACAATGAAAAAAAAAGTAAAATAAATTTAGACAATAACGTTAATTACGCTAATCGCAAAATTAGTAAACAAGTTATTGGTAAACCTAAGCACGATCGTGCCTGCAATCTTTGTCGTCAACCACAAAAATTTAACATGGGTAACAGATTTTCATTTCATTTCCCTTGTCGAAGAATAATGATGACGAAGAAATATTTTGTATTCTTATCCAATGTTGCCAGATTCAATTTTCAACTCGATGTATATTTAAGAGCGTATCAAAATAATTTAATTTATGACTAGTTTCGCCTCTCGGTAACCATTATCTGACAGACGAATAATAAAAGACTCCTTACTCTCGTAAACAGAATTCAGAGTATTGATCTGCCAGGACAAGTCAATCTGTCACATGTAATTTACCTAGAAAAGCTATAACCAGTATTTCTTAATTTTTTCTTCACATTAAATATCACATACATTCTAAATAGAATTTTTATTAGAATGTGTTTGACATAACTAATGGAATCAATGGAAATAGAGAATCTGGCAACATTGTTAACGTACAGTGTCTGCGAAATGTATGTAAGATCCTTATGACCGATATTGTTTCGCATCCACTTTCGACATACATACATACGATATTTACAAATCGCGCTAGATAATTCTATTACGTATACTATATTATCTTACTATTCTTAAGGCTAATTTAGCTTGCTGCACACACGTGACGTGGTCCATGTGACATCTGAAGACACTGGGTGGTCAGTCGCTGTCGGAGCCCACTGGATTAAACTTTTTTCTCTTTTTTGCTTGCTTTACATTCACGAGTCCTTCTTCCTATGCCATTAAAAGATAAAAGTAGCAATAATACGTAATAGATACAAGTGCAAAACGCATTCAATAAACAGTTTGTTAATTCATTACAAAACTTACCTCGCTACTGGATGTACTGTCGATTTGATACGATACGCGAGGTGGCGGCCTTTTGGAACTAGACCTTTCCCTCGTATTAGCACCAGTTTTCCTCTGACCTCCTTTACTACCAGCACCTCCACCACCAGCCGATGCCGCCGCATGCTTTCGCGCTGAACTTGTCGGCGGAGGTGGTGGAGGTTCATTCTCTTCATTAACTTCTGCGAGAGCGAACAAATCTCCGTAACTCTTTCTTAGCGAATCGCTACTGGCTGCTTGTGCTTGTTGCAGTGCTCTTTGCATTCCTTCAGAATGGTAAAGTTGCAATTCGGCGGATGATGTGCAATGTTGTCGCAACTGATCCAAGTGGCCGAGAACTTGTTCGCCAGTAGGCGGGCCAGGTTGTTGATTGTGTTTAGCGCCAGATCGTTTCCGTTTGTTTGGGCTTGTAGCAGGGTAACGAGTACTCAAAAGATTCGCGAGTAATTCTCCTAACTTTTCTTCGTAATCGCGACACCAATAACGTAATGCCGCTACAACAAACATGTCTCCGTCCACGTTTTGTCGTGCTAGGAGTTGTCGCAGAAGTTCCAACGTTGGCCTTTGTTAAAAAATTGTTAATGTTACATTACACTTTCAATGTCAATCATTTAATTAATCCTAGTTAACAATTTGCTTACTTTTCTTGCTTAAGCATAAACAGTATCGATGTCAACGCTTCTGCGTGATCGCGAAATTGTAATTTAGGTAAAACAGGCAGTACATAATCGATTGGGAAGTCATGGGCAAAGATAAGTTGCCAAAAACAATATTGTTCGAACGTTTCCCAATTTAAGCTTGCCGTCAACAACGACGTAAACGATTCCTTCTTCAGCATTTTTAAATGTCCTTGCATTATTTGACATACTAATTCTTGTAATTGGCATGCATCAACAGTCGACACGACCAAATGCAGTAACTGAACATTTCCAAGAGTCACATTTTGAAATCCCATATATACATCAGGCACAAGATAACATAGCATAAATATGTTGTCTTCATGGCAGAGCTGGAAATTTTTTTTATAATCAATACACATACGAAAACAGTAAAGTCACGTTTAAAATGACTGAATACTTACTTTTAAATCCGATACTAAACACGCATCCAATTTTTTCTCTCGATGTGCACAAAAATCTTTATATACCGATGCTTTAACATCGTTTAGCACATTGCTATGAAAAAATAAAATCCTTTAATGACAAGTAGTTTATTTTTGTAAAAACTTCGTACACGTTCCATTACAAACCTTGGTTCACCTTCCCGCTTCTCTTCTTCTCTGCCCCAGACTTTCAAAAAATAAAGTAACAGGTAACCTATCCTTGGTTGAACATTCTGCATCTCTGCAAGTACCCTAGCTAACAGTTTCCGCCTATTGTCCTCTTCTTTACACAACTGAAACTGATTTCGAAACATAACAAACAACGGCGTGCTTATACTATCAGTCAAGGCTTCTTCATTCAAGTTATCTGATGGAAATATTTGGGATGTAATTTGTGAGGATAAGATAGTTGATATGCAAGAAGCCAATGCCGATATAGTTTCCGCGTCTATTTCATCTTCTACAACCATTTGTACTATCCTCTCCATCATTTGACACCTCACTTCATTATCTGTTTCACTGTGCAAACTTTCTACAGCAGTCCTTAACTCCTCTGGTTCTAAAATTAAATTTAACTGGGATGTGATATCTTCTTTCTTCACAACACAATTTGCATTTTTTTGTTCGTTTTTCAATTTCACATTTGCTAATGGAACATCTTCTTCATCTTCCTCTTCAACTCGTATTCTGTAGCATTATATTTAATGATGTTTATATTATATATTGTTATAATGGCAAATGAAGTGTTATACAAAGAACATGATATATCTATTACCTTAATGGCATTTCTTCTTCTTCATCACTGAAAGCTGGTTCTGGATCTTGATTTACGTGATTATTCTCGACTGCTGTAATTACTGTGTTTTCCAATGTAGCTCCAGACGTAAGATCCTTATGAAGATCTTCCATTTTACCTGAATATACAGGAACCTTATTTCCTGCTTAAAAAGATCATGCGAAAACCAAAGTTAGTAAGCAATGAATGTGCTATGAGCGTGGAAGAAAGGTGAATGATAAAATTTGTTAAAAGAAAAAGACCGAGAGATGAATTGTAAACCATGACTTGTTAAGAACCATAACACAAAAGCCCAAAATTAATTTTCAATTATTATATCCCTTTCATATTTACATTTGCATGTATATATGTATGTACAAAAGATGAAAACTTACGTGTGTACATGACATGAAATTTAATAGAATGAGTGTACCTAATGCCTTATATGTGTGTGCAATAGTGAACTATCTTCATCTTCGATGCTCTAATATCTAACAATTTATGATTCACTAAGCATGCAAAACTTTATATAATAATTTTACCAGGATCTACATTAGGTGGTAAGCAGAACTCTTTAAACGTTTCCCTTATTTTGCTCCTCAATTCGCGATCCAATTTGGGACTGTCAAATAACGGATAGAGACTTGGCAGAACTCGTTTTTCCAAAATTTGTCTCAACGATGAAAAAATTCCATTTCTAACCTTCTCCGTCAAAGGTGGATAGAAATTTGGTATTATCTGCAACCAGTAAATATATTTAAGTCACTTTTGCCGTTAAATAATTTCGATAAGTTGCCAAGATAAACATCACTTACTCTGCATAAGAAGTCTAATAACGTGGCAGTGACTGGTGGATGGGATCTCATAGAGTTGTGCATGACGAGAATAGCGGGTTCAATGTTCATAATATTATCTTTCTCAGGTTCAAAAAACAACCAATCGTAAAATAAAGCCAGCTTGGCGTTACTAGCCGCCACTGTTGATGTACAAGTTGTAAATAACCATCCTATTACCGCCCATCGTGGTATAATGTCTGAACACAGCAATTCGTTTGTTGGATGAATAACACCAACGATAAACCTTATAAGGTCACATCTCAAAGATTGTGATTCTGGTGTAGCCAGGTACTGCCTTTGAAACCAATCTTGGTATCGTTTATGATTACCAAAACGCACTTGACTGGTCAAAAATACTAATTTCCTTTCCATATCCGGTGTAAGTCTAGATTGTAAAAACCTTCTAGAAGTTCTAGTTTGTAGAAGTTGAAGGACACCAGTAAACGTTGGACAAAGAGATTTCGGATTGTAAAGTACGTCTTTCCACAGCCCTTCAAACTCAGATATCCGTGCTACATTTTGTAATAAGCGTACCAAATCCCTGTAAACGTAAAAAATTATTTTCTTGATTATTCTTTCATTCTCGTTGCAGAACAGATGACAAGAGTCAGATCATTTACCTTCCAATGGCCATACAGTCAACCATACGTTCTTTTATTAAGGACACAGTGAAGTTAACTTCTTTTTGACGTAAACCAGATAGATGAGGTGCATTATGATCTTCTATTAGTCTTAAATACGTGTAAACAACGGATGCTACTAAAAAAGGAAACTTATCCAGCCAAGGTCGATTCTCTTGAAAGATGTCTAAAAGTGCATCAACTAGAAACAAATTTCGTGGTGATATATCTCCACCAGCTGCATGCCTTAATAAACTTAAACAAAAATTATCCACACTAGATACACTGGTCCTTATCATTTCCTTCAACAGCCATAACAATTGATTTTTGGTCACATCATTTAGTCTCAGGTATCTTTCAAGTACTAATTGATTAAGATGGCCTAACACTATACCAAGACCGTCTCTTGTAATTAATGTCAAGTCTCTATAACTTTTTGCAGCACTTTGAGGATCTGTCAGAATAACCATCAACAACCCCAATGAAACTTCTTCGTGTATCTTGTCCTTACACACAGCATTGTTCAATGTATCGTGGGCTTCTTTTTCTGAGAGTCCTGTAGTCAAGTTTTGAAGTACCATGTAACATCTTTCAAATTTCTGAAAAGAAAAAACATACTCTTCAACATAGACTAACAACAAAGTATTCTTTATTAAAATACAAAATAAATTTGAAGAACAGAAATGAAAAATCAATTGTAGTATTGTCCTACTAATAAAAACAAAAGATTTTTACACTTTTTGATAGAGAGAAGTTTCAGATCTAGCATTACATCAACAAACTTCCTTAACACATATGAGCATCTTGCCATTCCTCCCAAATCTGAGGGAGCATGTTCCATCAATGGAAGGGAAGAATGAATTTCACAAATATGCAAATGATTCGAATATTGCCGCTAAGACGCGTGGTTCGACGTGTGGCGCTGCGCGGTCAGCGACGTGCGCGACCGTCGCAACAATGGCGGAACCCCTAGCACCCGATACGTATCCAGTGACTATTTCAAATATTTATGTTACCTCTTCCAAGTCGTCCTTATTCTCTATGCAACTCGTGCTGAGTAGCCGGGACGCAGGAGTTTTCGTCTGTTCCATAGCTGCTAACTGGCCTGCGGCCGTCCCGTGAACGTTATTCCAGGCCCTGTTGAGCCCTCAGCCCTCAGCCCTGTGCCCCTGGCCGCTTGTGCTCGCCTCCGTGCATCATGATCGTCTCACTGCCTGTTCGCTCTCTATCTCTCTCTCCTTCCCCACTCTTTGTCTCTCGCGCGGTCTCTTCACTCTGTTTATTCACCACGGACCTCCCCGACTCCCTCAACTGTCCCGATGCGATTGCGCATTGATACATGCGCCTCGTCGCTTGTCGACCTCACTTCGTGACGTGATCGCTCCCCACCATCGTCCCCAATCACCGGCTGGATCACCGTACACACTGACGGGCATTGGTGGGGCACCATAGTAAAGTAGTGCGTTTTACAGGTACGTATTTATTAAGGGCGCGTATCGCAGAGGACGGTCACCTCGAGATGTCTGAACTTCCTCGCCAGTGTGCTCATGTGCTCATTGCCAGTGTGCTTGAATTTTGTTTAAAAGAGTTTTAGCCTTCCCGCGTTTAAACAGATTTTTTAAGATATCACAAGATTGCGTATTGATTATTTCTTTTTTAGAGGTGTTACTTACAGAACTGTATTCAACCGTACATATTTATAAGTGTTTCGTACTTTTAGTTCTTTACGCAAAAACAACGCTTATTATAGGTAGTTGCCTACTTGTAAACATACAGTGTATGTATAATGCATTAATATTAATATATATGTGACTACAGTACAGACACGACACAGCAAACAGACTGTTAAAATTCTCATTCATACAATGAAAATTATGTGGATTAGTTCTTTAATAAAGGCATAGAAAAATTAATCAAATATGACAAAGTGTTGCATACATCTGAAGGTTACAATTTAAGGAATAAGAATTTTTAGGTAATATAATAATTGTTACGACATTCAAATGTAAGAAAATAACTGAATACAATAACAAAGAATATGCTATTACATATAAGTCGTCTAGTATTTATTTGTGGAAAGAGAGCTAGTACCACGAGGTTATCAGCATTCTGACTTCAAATTACGTTGAATACTTTTATAAAAATAATTTTGTCGTAACAATGAAAACGATACGATGTTTAGAAACATACTTTACAAACGACCGTGTAAGTTCATTGTCAAAAGTTCATGCATTCTGAAAAACAAGTGCATAAGGCTCCTCGAGAGAAGTTACTCTCATAAAAATTGCGAAAATTTTAAGCACCAGGGTGCAATCTACCACACGCATTGATGCATGTCGTACAAGCCTGCGATTTTAAGATGCGCTTGCGCCGATCACGTACGCACGAAGAGACTAACCGACTAATCACATTGGGTATTTGGGTACCCCGTACCCCGGCCAGCCACGCTTTCCGCTTTTCGTTTCATCGCGATACTTGGTGAACGTCTTTACGTTTTTTTCCCGAATTCTTGTTATTCTGTGCTCACGAATCTCACACGAACACTCTGCTCCTTGTTCATTCGTTATAATTGTTTTAGTAAAAACGTTCCAACGGACACGTAAAATCACTGCACACCGATATGTTCGTTCTACGTCAACCTAACCCCCAATGATTACGAACCACAGACCTGACATTCCATTACGGTGTATAAGGCTTTCCTCCAGGTACCTGTGGTGCTACAACCCCATTTTCCTTTCTCTTTCTTCTTTTAATGCTCACTACGTAATCACTTCTAGCATTTTTCGTTATTTGATTATGATTGGACTCCAGGTCATTTCTT